TGACTTTGGCTCAGGTCATGATCTCACAGTTCCTGAGTTTGAGCAGACAGCTGCCTGCTGTCAGCCTGGAGCCCACCTTGGATCCTCTGTACCGCCCCCTCCCCCCGTCCCTTCCCCACTTGTGCTCTCTCTCTCAAAAATAAACAAACATTAGGGGCACCTGGGTGGCTCAGTCGGTTGAGTGTCCGACTTCAGCTCAGGTCATGATCGCACAGCTCGTGAGTTTGAGCCCTGCATCAGGTGCTGTGCAGACAGCTTGGAGCTTGGAGCCTACTTTGGATTCTGTGTCTCCCTCTCTTTGTTCCTCCTGGGCTCACACTCTGTCTCTCTCTTTTTCTCAAAAATAAATAAACATTAAAAGAAATTTAAAAATAAACATTAAAAAAAGAGGAAACCTCAAAACATCAAAATCCTTCTTCACAAGCACGTGACATTACACAAGCCACCCACACCAGCCAAGGGGACAGTCACTTGCAGTGAGGGGTACCTAGAATCAGGACCTCTTGTTCCACCTGCTCCACAAACCATGAAATAACTAATCCACAGAGGAAGTTAAGAGAAAGAGAATATCCTGACTCAAAGACACATGTTTAAAATATTTCGAATCCATGATTGTAAAATTCAGTAAAAATTACTAAGATAATGAAATAAAAATTCAAAATTCAAGTCTAAATTTGTGCTTAGATTTAGTAGCCCTAAAGTTAAATGTTTATGCGGTCCCACTGCAGACCGGGACAAAGTGTACACGCACCAGCATGGACCCCTAAGACTGCTCTCTGACTAGCATAGATCTAGAGAGTGGACAGAAGCTACTTTTGTGAAGGCATGTCTGGAAAGGGAAAGGGATGGAGAAAAAAAGACAAAGTCTGTGGGAACCAGGAGTGACAAGACAGAAAAATGGGTTGTCTTCAGTGGGGGATGTACCGAGAAAGTGGAAATCAGGGTTCCCTAAGGACCAACTTTGTTCACTTTTATTTTTAATGTTTATTTATTTTTGAGAGAGAGAGACAGAGCACAAATGGGGGAGGGGCAGAGAGGGAGAGAGAGAGAGACATAGAATCCGAAGCAGGCTCCAGGCTCTATGCCCTCAGCACAGAGCCTGACAGGGGACTCAAACTCACAAACTGTGAGATCATGACCTGAGCCGAAGTCAGAAGCTCAACCGACTGAGCCACCCAGGCACCAAGTTCACTTGTTTTTTAGTCCCAGGTAGATCTGAGGATCAGAGAAAAGTCTCCATTTGAGAGAGGGTGGACACAGCAGGAGGGTTTATAGCAGAGAAGGAAGGTATCCTGGCAGAAGCTGGTCTTGGGGTTCCACTCACTAAAAGTAAATCCTCTTTCTCATTTTTCATAGACTCAAAGTAAGCTCCAAGGGGCCTGGGATGCCCCCAGATATGTGGCCAATGGCATATTCCTCCCCCCACCCCATGGTGCTCTTTTTGGGAATCAGAGACCTCATATCTGAACCTTGGCATTGCAGGAGTGTGTGGATGCTTCACTATGTATGTGTGTATATTTGTGTGTGCATGAGTGTGAGTGAGTGAGTGAGTGTGTGTGTGGCATGCACCAGTTCAGTCTCTACGTCAACTTCCATCAGGATGCACTGCCACTTACAGTATGGCCCGCAGACCTATCCCTTCATCCTTGGGTACATTTCTGTTTCAACACATGTTGTTCAGGGGTCCTTGGAATGTCCATGTGGAGAAGTGGTGCTGTGCCTCTTGGAGTTGCTGGCGGGCAGAAGAGCTCTGGTTGAGAGCATGGGCTGTGCAGGCGAATGGAAATGCATACAAACCACAAAAGACCTCAGACACGTTTGCAAATAAGTTAATTTTTTTTCAATTATAGTACCTTGAAGGGTTTTCATTATTAACATCATTTTTAGCCATGTTGCATTCTAATACATTTTCTTGATGGAAGCAAAAAGTGTGAACTTACCATTCATATGTATTACCGACTCTCATTCTTACCATTACTGCATTTCACTGCCTGCAACTCTTACTGTTATTCTGTTAGCTGTTTGTAGTAATTTGGGGGCATTATAGAGTTTTAAATTCCTAAACATTTTTGGAAAACATCATAAAAATCTTAAGTGATATTTGTGTCTGTTTAATAAAATATGTACACACCAAGCAATTTCACTTTTATTATTTACACCAAAGGAATATTTGTACATATGCACAAGGGAGCATGTGAAAGTACACTGTGGCAATGTCTGGAATAATACAAATTTAGAAGTAACCTAGCTATCCATCGAAAGGGGAATAGACAGATAGACAACGATTTGTCCACACATGAGATACTCTAAAAAGAATGTGCAGGTCTGTGGGTAGGAACACGGAAGGGCTTCTCAGATGCACTGCTGAGTAAGGAAAGGAATTCCCAGATAATATACACCACATAATACCATTTCTGAAGGGAACAGAAGCTCCCTTAAAGTACGAAGCGCTACTACATTCTAAGTATTCTAAGTGTATATGCAGCACAGAAAATATTTTGTAAGACTATACCCAAAACTGATAGCAGCTGTTACTTTAGGGAGGAAAGGAAACAAGAATGGTGATTGTCAAAAGGGAGTTTTTTTTTTTTTTTTTTTTTTTGGGACAGAGAGAGACAGAGCATGAACGGGGGAGGGGCAGAGAGAGAGGGAGACACAGAATCGGAAGCAGGCTCCAGGCTCTGAGCCATCAGCCCAGAGCCTGACGCGGGGCTCGAACTCACGGACCGCGAGATCGTGACCTGGCTGAAGTCGGACGCTTAACCGACTGCGCCACCCAGGCGCCCCCAAAAGGGAGTTTTTAAGCCTTATTTGTAAAGTTGTGTTTTTTATTTTTTTAAATAAAGAAACATTACTCATGAGTTATTTATGTAGTTATAAAATAATGTCAGAAATCTGCACATGCTGATGAGCACAGATATCATCCATGGCCATGCCTGTCAGAATAAAGATGGGGTGGTGGTGGGGCACCTGGGTGGCTCAGTTGGTTAAGCGTCTAGCTACTGATTTCAGCTCAGGTCATGATCCCATGTTTTGTGAGTTTGAGTCCCATGTGGAGCTCTGTGCTGACAACTGGGAGCCTGCTTGGGATTCTCTCTCTCCCTGTCTCTCTGCCCCTCCCCTGCTCTCTCTCTTAAAATAAATAAATGAGTAAGTAAACTTGAAAAAAAAAAAAAAAAGATGGGGTAGGGGATGGGAGGGAGACAAGACCACCTACAGGGTGTGCCCAAGGTTAGAGCCATGACTCACCCAACAGACAGGGCGTCTGGCACATAGTCCTGCCCTATGACCAGCCCAGGATGAGACAGACCTCAGAGGTTACCTAGAATTGCCACCAGCCAGGCAGCAGGGATTTAAGAGAATAAACTATAAAGCTGAGCCCCCTGGCTTCAAATCTTTTAGTCACTGCCTATGTGACACTGAGGAAATTAACCTCTCTGTATAAAGTATACAAGGAGCATAACATGGGAGTGGTGTCAGGATTAAATTAATTAATATGACAAACCTCTAGAAGGAAACCTGGTACGATAAAATCTCTATGTATTATCTATTGCTATTAGTAGTCTAAAATCGTTTTCTCTAGAAGATTCTCCAGGGGCTGAATTGCTTAGTCTGCATAAAGATCAAGCCAGCATCTGTGGTCTCTGATGACTGGGAGTTCTCAGTGCCCCAAAGCCCCTTCCTTTGTTTCAGATCCTTGGTAAGTAGAATTATGGGAAGGTCCTAAGGAGCAACGAGTGGGACATCTCAGTCTACAAATGGGGAAACTGAGGCAAATCCTGGGGCTGGCCTCACCAGGCAGTTAGCAGGGCCGGCCCCACATCTCCCACTTCCTGAAACCTCAGGCCACTGCTCTCTCCTTGCTTGACACCACACCACCCTCACAGAAGGAGGAGAAGGTGGCATTGTCTTATGGAACAATAGAATTAGAATTCTTATCAAAAGACTGAAGTTTTCCACTTTGGAAATGGGCAAAACAGCCTGTGGCTCTGACAACCTTTCTGTTTCTTGGAGTCCTCAGGGTAACTGCACAGACAGGCTGGTCCTTGCTGGGGCCAACTTTGGAGCAGCCTCTATGGGAAGCCTTTTGAGCCAAAATAGATTTCCCTCGATTAGCACACATGCCCCCATGACAGAGAGGAGGCGACCCGCCAGCCTCCGGAGCAGAGCAGGAGGCCCCTGGATTGAGGTATGCTCCCCACTGGCAGGCAGCTGCCCTCCCCTCAGATGGAAAACACCTCCTTCCCTTCTTCAATATTGATCTGTAGGGGAAAAAATTCCATCTTAATACTTTCTCAGTGGATAATGAAGCAGTTCATTTTATATTATTTGGATAACAAGCCTCCACATGAACAGGATTCGAATGTCAGTTGTCTTAGAGGAAAAAAAGATTTATTGGTTGGTAAATATTGAGAAAGAAAAGCTGATAAAGACCAGTTTCAGCTGCAGCTTCTGCCGGGAGCAGGAGAACAGGCCAGTGTTGTATTTTGGGGCCCTGGGAAGGCAAAAAATTGTGAATGTCTTTCTTTGTTGGTGGGTGTAAAAGTGGAGACCGCTACAAATAATTTCTTATTTCTGTTCGCATAGATTTTAAATTATGTAGCTTCCCTACCTTGTTAAGTATTAAAGCGTTCTTGTTTAAGGAAAAGACACTTAAATAATGAAGCTTATGTATCTTGTTTTCAGACATCAATATCTGGCTTTGAGTGGCACAAAGGGATAAAGGAATGTGGATTCAGAGCGGGCTGGGATGCTTGGCAATTCTAATTCGATTCCAGACTGCAAATCGACACAAAGCTGTTGCAACTTTTGTTGAAGAGAAGGCTGAGTGAGCACGTGGTGTTGGGAAATTGTGTTTTCTTCTTCGAGTTCTTCTGTTTCCGAATATCTAATCCTACTGTCCTCTTCTTTGGTGAAGGTCTCTTTAGTATAAAGAGTCTCTTTCCTGAAATTGCTTGGGGCAGCACAGAAGCTGGATTCAGAAAACACACAAGTCGGGGATGCAGGCTTCCGCCAAGCCTGATGCAAGGAAACACTGCCATCTCGTGGTCATCTTGGAACACAGCACCTCGGTTCTGGGCGAAGCTGCCGAGAGCCAGGACTTGAGACATAAGCTGCATTTCTGCAGGACAGTGAGGATGCCTTTTAAAAACACCCAGGAAATAGTTGAGTTCCCTCCAAGATAGGTTTCAGTGAATCTTCATGTATGCTGTCATTCCCTGAGCCAGACACTGCAGGCCCACAACACCTGCTGTGTGAAAATGGGGTAGAAATGGGGAGAAAACATAATCCCCCAGTGAAAATAAAGAAACAAACACATATTTACTGAATGCCTGCTGTGTGCCCGGCAGAGCTGCTGCGGAACACCCAGGCGGAGCAAAGGAAACAGTGAATTGTGTCAAAGGTCATCGAATGTCAGTATTGGGGCAGGGGTGGTGCGAGAAGTGTCCTGGCGTTCCTTATCTAGCAGGACATCTGGCCGGATGCTCAGATAAAGCCACGCCTGAGCAGAGAGACCCACGGATCCGTGATTTGTTTATCTTCTCCAAATAAAAACTTGATTGTAAAAACATTTATACATGTGTTGCAAAAAAAATAAAATCAAACCACATAGAAATGCACAAAGAGGAAAGTAAAAGGCTGGAAAGTAAGGCTGGAACCCCTCCCCGCCCCTTACGTACCCACTGTTAACACTTAGGTGGCCGTCCTGGTGAGCATCTTGCTACCAAGGTAACCAAGTGGAAATGCAAAGCATACGTTTACAAAAGTGGTATTCGAACTTGCATTCTATTCGGTAATCTGCTCTTTGATTCAACATCATGTCACAGGCTTCTTTCCAGGTCAGTAAAGGTAGATGTGCATCATCTTTTTATCAATTGTGTAATAGCTAACAATATGTAATATTGATTGGATACCTGCTATGTGCCAGGCACTGTACTAAATACTTTAAGTAAGTGATCTTATGTAATCTCATAACTAGTTTACAAGGCAGGATTTTTTTTTTATTATGCTTATTTCACAGAGGGGGAAGCTGAGGCACAAGGAAATGAATCAGGCATCTGACTTCAGAGCCCATGCTCTAGACCACAACACTAGAAATACTCCATAATTTATTTACCCATTTTTTTCTGGCATAAAACCTAAGGTTCTAATAAACTGATACATGTCTACCTTGTCTCCAGACAGGATGTACCCAATCATGCTTGTTCCAGATGTATATGAGCATTTTTAGCACTCCATGTTCTTGCCAATATGAGGACTTCCCAAATCATTTAAAAATATTTTCTTTTCCCTGTTTTTTTTAAATTTTGAAATATAGTCTCTGAAAAAATTGCAAAGATAAGTACAATGAACCCTTGTAAATGCTATTATAGATCCGCCAACTGTTAACATTTTGACACATTTGCTTTCTTTCTCTGATGCATTTTTATCAAGCTCTTAGAGTTAGTTGTAGACATCATGGCACTTGACCCCCACACACTTGAGCATGTATCTCTTAACAACAAAGACATGCTCTTACATAAACATCCTAGAATCATCACACGGGAAATTTTTGCTGTGATAAGGTGCAGTTTCCTAATGTAAAATTCATATCAAATTATCAAATATTTAAGAGCTTTTTGTTTTGAACAGGAATAGAATCAAGGATCACATAATGAGTTTTGTGGCCATGTCTCTTTTATCTCCTTTAACCTAGAACAGTTTTCTCCTCTTTTTGTGGTCTTTCATGGCATTCACATTTTGAAGAGTTTTGTAGAATGCCTCAATTGGATTTATCTGATTGCTTCCTTCGGGTTAGATTTATAGGACTCTCATTGACTGCATATCACATGGTTGATATTGCTTCCTTCTCAGTGCATTGTACCAGGAGGACCATGATGCCAAATAGTCTTGTTATTGGTGTCGTTCACTTTTTCATCACTTGGTTAAGGAAGTGTCTGCCATATGTCTCCCCTGGAAAAGTACCTTGATCCTCTGTGATGAGTAACTGACAGACTGAGTGATATTGAAGAATGAATATTTTGCTTCTCAACATTCATGCTGTCAACTGGTGATTTTAGAATCTATTGATGGTCCTTGTCCAAATAAATTATTGCTTTACTGGCTTTAAAGTGATGAGTTTCATTTTCTATTATTTATTTTACTTTTTTGTTTGTTTGTTTCAGGTGTGCAATACAGTGATTCAACAGTTCTGTAAACTTCTCAGTGCTCATCAAGGTAACTGTACTATTAATCTTTTTCTCCTATGGCACCCACCCCACCCCCCACTTCCCCTCTAGTAACCATCAGTTTGTTCTCTATAGTTAAGAGTATGGTTTTTTTCTTAAATTCTACATATGAATGAAATCATATGGTATTTGTGTTTCTCTGACTTATTTCACTTGGCACAATACCCTCTAGGTACATCCATGTTGTCTCAAATGGAATGATCTCATACTTTTTATGGCTGAGTAATATTCCATTATATATCTTCTTTATCCATTCATCTGTGGATGGACACAATTTGCTCTCATATCTTGGCTATTGTAAATAATTCTGAAGTAAGCATAAGGGTGCATGTATCTTTTTGAACTAGTGTTTTCATTTTCTTTTTATTTAATGTTTATTGATTAAAAAATTTTTTTTAATCTTTATTTATTTTTGAGAGAGAGACAGAGTGTGAGCAGGGGAAGGGCAGAGAGAGAGGGAGACACAGAATCTGAAGCAGGCTCCAGGCCCTGAGCTGTCAGCACAGAGCCCGACGTGGGGCTCAAACCCACGAACCGTGAGATCATGACCTGAGCCGAAGTTGGACGCTCAACCGACTGAGCCACCCAGGTGCCCTATAATGCTTATTTATTTTTGAGAGAGAGAGAGAGAATTGAGAGTTGGAGAGGTGCAGAGAGGGAGGTGGACAGAGGATCCAAAGCAGGCTCTGCACTGACAGCAGAAAACCCAGTGCAGGGCTCACACACACAAACCGTGAGATCGTGACCTGAGTCAAAGTCAGATGCTCAACCTACTGAGCCACCCAGGCAGCCCTTTGTGTTTTCATTTTTTTTGGGTAAACACCCCATAGAATTACTGAACCATATAGTATTTCTATCTTTAATTTTTTGAGGAACCTCTTTTCAAATTGTCACTCTTTTTTTTTTTTAATTATCACCACTCTGTAAAGGAAAACTTTTCTTTCTATCCCTCCTCTTCTTCAGTATCCATATGGATTCATCAATTCTTTTTATATTCAGTGTGTTTCTTCAATAATTCATTTTGGTAGCAGGAGAATCCTAGATTTGGTGAGTGGCACCTCTTTAGGCTGCACCTGTGCCCTCTGAGCATGTCCCAGTTTGTAGCACACGATGCTCCAGGCTCACGTTATACTTTCCTTGCCTCAGGCCTGGACTTGGCCATTTATCCAGAACCCTCTCATCATGGCTTATTTATTGAATCTCTCTTACTACTATTATTTTTTAAATTCATGTATGCTACCACTGCTTTTTTTTTTGGTGTAAGTTCTAGGGCTTCTAGCAAGGTATAGATCTTGAAACCCAACACTTCAGTCAAGATACAGAACAATTCCATCAGACCAGAAAGTCCTTGGGCTGCCTCTTTGTAATCAAACACACCCTGTGATCTCTGGCAACCACTTATCTTTTCCCCACCTTCGGTTTACCTTTTTTAGACTGTTATACAAATGGAATCATACGTATGCAGCCTTTTGAGTCTTGCCTCTTCCCCTCATTCATTTGCCATCCGCCATCTTGTTGTGTGCTAATTCCTCGTTAGTGTGGACTGATGAATATTCCATTGGGTGGATGTACCATGGTTTGTTTATCTGTCCACCAGCTGAAGCACACTTGGGTTGCTTCCGGTTCAGGAGATTATGAATAGAGCTGACATAAACATTGTCATTAGGTTTTTGTGCATGTGCACCTCTGTGTGAGCATAAGTTTTCTTTTGAAAAAAAAATTTTTAATGTTTTTATTTTATTTTTGAGAGAGAGAGACACACAGTGAGAGTAGGGGAGGGGCAGAGAGAGATAGAGACAGAATCTGAAGCAGGCTCCAGGCTCTGAGCTGTCAGCGCAGAGCCTGACATGGGGCTTGAACTCACAGACTGCAAGATCATGACCTGAGTCGAAGTCAAACGCCCAACTGACTGAGCCACCCAGGCGCCCCGAGCATAACTTTTCATTTCTGTTGGGTAGACACCTATGAGTGGGATTGTAAGTTTATACAGTAAGTTTATGTTTCACTTTATTTTTTAAGTTTATTTATTTATTTTGAGAGAAAGAGAGACAGCAGGGGAGGAGCAGAAAAAGAGCCCCATACGGGGCTTGATCCCACAGACTGTGGGATCATGACCTGAGCCAAAATCAAAAGTCAGATGCTTAACCGGTTGAGCCACCCAGATGCCTCCATGTTTCACTTAAAAAAAAAGGCCTTTCCAAACCTTTTCCGGAGCAACTGTGTCACTTTGAGTTTCCACCAGCAAAGCATGGTAATTCCAACTCTTCTACATCTTTGCTAGCACTTGGTATGGACAGTTTTCTTTTTAGTCATTCTAATACATGTATAATGCTGCCCATCTTTTTCCATCTTTGCCAGTGTTCTAAGTGAATTAATAAAAACTCGATCTCCATATATGTTGGCTGTTAACACTAATGTTACTATTAATAATACTAAAAATTACAACCAATCTCATAGATACAAAAAAGCTACTTTGTGCTATTTATATTTTGCTTTTTTGATTACAAAGGAAGTTAAAACAGCTCAATTTTTAAGCTAGGAAGAGGATTGGCAAGTGTATTCTTGCCTGAAGGTGTCTCACTTTGTGGCTGCCTTATCCTGGGTCTGGGATTACTGGGGACACTTGTGGCCCCTCCCCCAGCTCTGGGCATTTTCGTGGAGGCCATGGACGGGTTGGAATAACCAGCCCATTCTCTCTCCCTCTTCTGATTAAAGGAAGGGGAAACAGAGATGAACGAAAGGGCCAAACCACTATCGGCTCTAGGTCAGAGTGTGGGGTCGTGTTTCTACAGAGTCCTCAAAGCTCCCACTAGGAACTATAACACTCAATTTTCAATTTGTTTCAGCTCAAGAACACCAATAACATCAGCAGGGGTCAGGTACCATGCTGCTCACCAGAGTCA